AAAAAAAAAAAAAAAAAAAAAAGTGATTTTTCTGGCAAAGTTCCAGCAAGTAAAATGCTAGTAAATTCTTGCTAACTTTTTAAAAAAAGAAAGAACTATGTTTCCTCAGTGACATAATATAAGCAAAAATTAATGAAGTAATCCTAAATTTTTATCTTAATTAGACCATACTTTATCTCTTCAGGTCAAAGGTAAAAAAAAAAAAAGTGGGCAGAAGAGGCTCTCATGGTTTAAATTCGTTCATTTTCTGCTGTACATTTCTAGCTTTAAAAAACATGGGGTTGTCATCCACATTAATCCCCTTAACTGTCCTGATGGAGTGCTGGCTGGCTCAGGTGCACACACCAGCTCCGACTCACCTGTTTGGATGAGACGTGGGCAGCATGAACTGGAATTCCACCACGCAGGTGTTGTCCTTAAGCTGGCGGTGTTGTACGCTGTTAAGTTCATAGGCAATATAAGCCCTTCGAACATACACCTGGTTAAAAAGTAATCCTCAGTAAATACACTTTAAAAACAGAAGCTAAGAGATGGTTAGCCCAGAAAAGAGACAGTCTTGAAAAGAGGTATCTATCTGAGGCAGAAGGTGGTGACAGAAGTCTCAAGGCTCTGTATAAAAATACCCTGTTTTCACTAATAAAGTTGGAATCTTAAAACTATACCCATGGCTATAAATGGAAACAAAACTAGGCTGACTCTGCTGGATACCTCTAGGTGTGCCATAAACCTTTCACATTAAACTAAACTCAGGAGGTTTGCTTTTTAGTAAAAGAGAGCACATAGAACCATGACTAATAACTCATTACATGTGATCATTTCAACAGGAGATAAAAGCAAGCATGAGAAAATGAAAGGGACTGACTCTGGACCACTTGAGGAGTAAAGATAGAAGACTGAAAGAACTGCAGTACTGTCCAACCTTTTTACTATCTTGTACCTTTATTTTGTTGTTTAGCTTTCCCATTGCCTGAAATCAATTTTAGGCAAAAGCAGTAAGGCATAATTTGATATATAATATCTCAAACACACTACTTGACTCAATAGTTAAGAGAAACAGCAACAGGCTACATCTCAGCAAAAAACAGCAGTCCAACCTTGCACACTTCATACAATTTACCATGCACATAAAATGCTACATGGAATTCTAACGGCATGTGAGGTACATAAGGAGACTTCTCATTAAATGGTGTGAAAGTACTGTTAAACACTTAGAAATTTTTAAAATTTGGTATCTACTGAGTGGGATACATTATATTCTACCTACAGAATACAAACAGGGTAACTCAAAAGAGCTTGCAACAGATTGTAGGGATGTCATATTACATAAGATCATCTAAAACGCCCCTTTTCCTCATCTTCAAAAAACATCCACTTGGCAGTTTTACAGCAGTATTCAGGACCTGCAGTTTTGTGCTTAATGAGGTAGTGAGCTGAAGTGGAAACAGAAAAGTCTGTGAACCAGATTCAAACGCAAACTCTTCCACTTATTGTCTGTGTGAATTTAGACAAGTCACTTAACATCTCAGAGTCTCACTTTCTTCTTACTTCATGAAACAATTGTAGGATTAAATGAGAAAAATAAAGCACCTAAAACATAATTCATTAATGTTATTACTTTTTTTCCTCATGATGAAATATCTCACAAGAGCTGCTTGACAATTCAGAATATAATTAAAATCCATTTTATTTGGCCCAAATCACAAAATGTTACATGTTCTGAACAGCCATATTTTTTTTTCACTTATTGTGTTGTAGGGAATCCTAACTCATTATGAAATGGGAGAACCAAATATACCTAGGAAGTAGACTACTAAAAAATGCTAGCAGCAATTTTCCTGTGATTGGACCCTAGATGCTGGTGACTAGTTCAGCAGAAACGCTTGGGTAAAGCTAGATCACAGTTCAGCATTAGTTTCATAAGAAAAGACGACTCTACTCTTAAGAACTTTAAGGCCAAAGAAAAAGAACTGACACAATAGCCAAATAGAAAGAAGAAATCAACTAGAAACCAAGAAAAATGTCATGTCCTATCATGTTACTAAGAAAACTTACCTCCAGAGCTGCCATTCTCACCACCTGGTTGCTGTGGTAGAAGAAGTTTGGCAGGACATCAAAAATAGATGTTTCAGACAAGATGAGTTTCTGGAAGGTACAAAGACAAACTTAAACCATTACAGTCAAAGAGAACAATTCCAATGGATAGTATTTAGGATTTGAAGTATTTTAGTGAAACTTAAGAATTTTGTCTATGAATGTCATGTACAAACTTACCTCCTTTGTGCTCAGCTTCCTTAAGCTACAAAATGGGGAAAATAATAATACCTATACTTACAGGCTGTTGTGAGCATTCGGAGTTAATAATTCATAGAATGTATTAATTATATGCATTATAGTATTTATGACTATTATTACCTTTCTGACATATATCTGTACTCAACTTCTTAAATATTGTCTCAATACTCCACTATGGTAAACCATAGAACTGAACCCCAACTGAAGCCCTTTACTTCAGCTATGAACCAAATAAACAAAAACATCCTTCTTCCCTCTCTAGATTCCCCAGAAAGAAATCTGAGAGAAAGCGTTAAGATTCCCTTGGCTAGATATATGTTCAGGTAGACATATAGAAAGTCATTTCTGAGAAAATGATGTTATTTAAAAAATAATAGTCCTTATGTTCAGGTAGACATATAGAAAGTCATTTCTGAGAAAATGATGTTGTTTAAAAAATAACAGTCAAGGTCCTTCCAATTAATAAAATTAGTCAGTACTCTTACAAAATTTGCTCTATATAAAGCTTAATTAACAGTAAGCATTAAAATAAAATGAAAGCACAAGAAGTAGTAGACTTCAATAGGACACTTCTATCAAGGCAGGCCTATTTGATTTTTAAGCTAAACCACAATTCTAACTGCATTTTTAATGAAAAAATATTCATAAGTATAAATCATTTTAGAAAGTCAAGGTATAAAATTTCATTACACAAAAAATCAAAATTGATTGATTGATTACTCAATTAAACTATGCTAAGAAATAAAGGGAACAAGAGTACAGAGAGGCACTCTTGGTAGAAAAGGGCTATAAGTATACCTGCAGGTTTTCAATGCAAAACTGATGTCCGTACATGTCAATAGCAGATAGGAAGATAGACTCTACTTGGTTATGGCGAAGCTCATATGATGGCAAATGGGAGGCAATAAGAACCTAGAGTGAGAGCAAAATAAGAGGCATAAGTTCCTGTGGGAGTGATTATTCTAGGCTCCTATTAGGCCGCTCTGATACAAAAGCAATAAATATAAATCTCTAAGTGCAGGCATCAAAGATAAAACAGAGACCAAGTGAAACAACTTCTAGGTCCTGTAATATAAAGCCAATGCCACCAATACTGCATCTCAGTTGACTCTCACCATGATTTGCGTTGTGGGCAATTTCCCATGGGGGTAGGGGGAAGGGAGAGAAAACAGCTTCAATCAAGTTCCATCAGTGCATGTGATTTTACCATTGCAAAGCTTCTAGTCCTCTGGACTGCTTGACTAGCTGTTAATTGGGAATCAGGTCTGGCAGGGAGCAGCTGTGGGAAAGGCAGATGCAGCAGAGCTAGCCTTTTGCAACTCTGAAGTAGAAAGAAAGACTAGGAAAAACTGCTCGGACAGCCCCAGGTCCTCAGTATCAAGAAAGAGGCTTTGGGATGTAACACCAATGCATGTGAGGAGCAGGGAGAGTGAAAGTAGTGTCACAAACAAACACGGTAGGACCTGAATACTCTCAGCAGGTCACTGAGAGGTTCAATAACTTTGAGTAGTTCAGTGACATGGATACAATTGTAGAGAAAGCAGAAGGTCACTGAACAGCTTCAAATGCTGCTTCCCTGTCAGTGCCCATGGACTGAAACACAAAGGGAGCGCCAACTCTGGGCTTCCCTGCTGAAACCTTTTGGAATGGAAATGAAGACTACAGGGTGAAACTAACTGGACTTCTCTGGGGTTGTTCTGATTGCTAGCATCCGAGATTCATTTCATTATCTTTCTGCTTTCCACACTTGATTTTTCCCCCATACACTTAAAAGTTTTCACCTGCTTCTAAGCTCCCTTTGGGAAGTAAGGAATGTTGAGCCTATTGCCTTCCTCCACATGACCCTGATTTACCATCACAGGGCTAGCAGGAAGGTGGGGAATGATAACAGGACTTTATATGGGGAAAGGACTCCTATTTTAAGGAGACTCAATGTTAATCTTCTCCTTTCTCTTTATACAAAACATATCCCACATAAAAACATTTGTTCTGAGGGCAATGGGACATAAGGCGTTGGAGTAAAGCTCATTGCCCAACATATAAAAATCATTCCTCCTTCAAGAAATCAACAAGCGTCCTTACCTGGCGTGCTCGGAGTGCCACTTTAGCATTGGTGGTCTTACTGAGTTGAGTTAGCTCTGTGAGGATATTCAGCAGCTCATCAGTGAGCGTAGGGTCCCGGCCACACAACTGATCCTAATTGTTTATGTGGAAAAGAGCATACACATCCACATGAGAAGAAACTGGGGTGGATAGGACTTTGAAATGGGGGAAAGGGAATAAAAACAAAGTAAACATAGCTGGACTAATAAAAAAATGCAAACTTGCTGGTATTTGTTTTGTGTTTTATCCCAAACAACGTGGTAAAGATGATCCCAGAGGAAGTTGCTGCTAGGGGAAGAAGCCTAAATCCGTCACTCATTCAGATTCAACATTCTGAATGTATTTTATAAACCAACACTGTACTTTTAACATGCAGAAGAAATCATCAGAGACCATTAAAATGGGTCAAGGGATTCTGAGTAAGAAATAACAGATGATGTTTTAAGAGGTTTTAAATAATACAGGGACTAAAGGCTTCCTGTTCCCTCTCCCACTTTAGAGGGGAAAAAATGGCAAAATGTAAAGCAAAAGGAACCACTCTTGGTGGTTTTCATTCCACAAACCAAATGTTCAGCATCCCAGGGGTGCAAAACAGAAACACAAGAACAAATTATTCACTTATAAACACACACTAAATAAAAACACCATCTCATATTCTGAGAATTCTATACCCGAAATCATTTATCCTCTTGCTGTACCAAGAAACATTCCACAGTATCTAAACATGGTGAATCCTTAGATGGATTAGAAGAAAAAACGCAGATCCTACAATACAATCCATGGTTTACTCAGCACTGGGTCGTTCCTCTTCTAAAAATTAAAAATTGTTAAGAAAAACCTCTATCATATTTTGAGAAAAGTATTTCTTCTCCAGTGGAATGTCAGTTTATTCCCTAAATTCATCCCCGTAATTTTCATCTAAGCTGAAAAATGGCACATGCAGTTTTCATAAAGGTCTGTCCTTTTTGAAATTTACAGAGCTATTTGTAGTAGTTCTTAATACCACACCACATAAAATATACACATTTAGGTATAGCTCCCTCTACTTGGGAGTTTGAAATAATTGCCTTTATATTTAGTGAGTTTTTATTTTCCCCTTACTATCAATAGGATATGAAAGACGACCAGATCCCAAAAGGCTTCCTGTCGCTGCTTTTTAATCTCCTCCGTACCTTGATTACTAGCCATTTTCTTCAAGAATCTCCATTTCATACTTTGACTCTTCTCAGGGAGAGTCTTTATAATCCATGACCAGAGCTGCAGAAATAAAAGCTTGGGACTTCTGGCTTTTGGAGCAGATATGCATTTCCCAAAACACTGTTTCTACAATCTCTACTACTTTCCATGTCACAGGGTAAATAGGTTTTTTTGTTTTGTTTTGTATTTGTTTTTTAATCCTCACCCGAGGATATTTTTTCCTTTGCTTTTCAGAGAGAGGAAGGGGGAGGGAGGGAGAGGGGGAGAGAGACAAACACACATCAATTGGTTGCCTCCCGCACTCGCCCTGACCTGGGCCGGGATCGAGCCTGAAACCGAGGCACGAGCCCTTGGCTGAAATCGAATCTGGGACCCTTCAGTCTGCAGGCCGACGCTCTAATCACTGAGCCAGACTGGCCAGGGTAAAAATAGGTTTGAAGTGCTCAACATCACTATGCTGGAAAGGAGGCTTCTCAAACATTTCAAAGCAGGAAATGCTTTCTGGTTCCTCAACCCACCAACCAGAGGTCTGCTGCAACTGTACAGTCGTAAAACACATGATATGATTAATAGTTAAGAAAGTACAAGTGGGTAGTGTTTTCACCTATTTAACACAGAAATTCACTCATCTGAGTGGGAAGAAGGAAAGCTGCTATGAAAGTGACTATAAATCCAGGGTTCGGCTGAGCATGCAGTCACAGACTAGAGGACCTATTCCACCTATCCTAAGGCACAAACTTAAAAAGGAGGGAGAAAATGCAACCAAGCCTCATCTTTTATTGAGAACCAGCAAACAAAATAGAATTTCAAGGGAACAGAGGGGGGCAAAAGGAGGTTTACAGTTGTTCGTATGAAAAATAATACAATAATTAATAAATAATAATACAATAAACTTTCCCGTACTCACAACTGTAAATCTACTTTTGCCCCACCCTGTATATAAAATTACTAAGAAAAGACCATAAAAAGACAGAAGGAAAGAACAGATAGATAACATGGGTAGGGAAATCAAGGTAACTTTTTCTTAAAGAAATCCTTCTTTACCTATTGTTACTAATAGAGAAAACATTCTTTTCTGAGGTACTCACTTCAATCATCAGAATGACCCAGTGAAATATTTAAAAACCTAAGATATGTCTTGGGTAATGCTACTCTACAAACAGCCAGACTAAAGTCTCAACATTAACAACAAAAGCCAATATGATAAAATGAGAACACTAGCCACCTACCCAACCTACTTCCTTGAAGGGAAATCCAGGTTTATCTTTTGAGATTAAACTAAAATAAATAAGTGAAAATAAAGTTACCATCTTGCTTAACTACAGATCCTGTTCTAAGTTAAAAAAACAACACACATAATGCCCAGCTGGGCGTGGCTCAGCGGTTGAGAGTCGACCTAGGATCCAGGCGATCGGTGTTCGTATTCCCGGTCAGGGCACATGCCCGGGTTGTGGGCTCGATCAATGACTCTCTCATCATTGATGTTTCTGTCTCTCTCTCTCTCCCTCTCCTTTCCTCTCTCTGAAATCAATAAAGATATATTTAAAAAAAAACAAAAAACACACACATAAAACCACTTTTTTATTTCATCTTTCCACTGTGAGACAAAGGGAGTGAGAAAGGGGGTAGGGAGAAAAAAAACTATCTGTAGGAAACTGTAACTGTACTTATGGAGATTAGAAAATATAATAGGTAAGTATTTGTTCAGGATCACCAGATGACAATCTTCCTGAGCTCCTTGTGATAAAGTTCAGAAACCAAACCTTTCTGGGATATGAAATGTATGAACAACCACTATTTCCATTAGTTTATCCTGACTTGGCAATTTTCCATTCAAATATTATTTTCTCCATTGTCATCATTAGCACTTAAGACAAAGATTGGCAATAGAGTAATCTTTCCAACCCAGTCTCATCCTTGACCTAGACACAGTATTCAGGTACTTAAAAAAACAAACAAACAAAAAACCCACCAGGGAAGAAAGACCCTTCTGTTCATCGGAACCACCCATCTGAAGATACAAACATCCAAAAGGAAGTTTAGGGTCCTCTAGCCTAAGAGACAGGCTTTCTTTGGACAACTGGACAGCCCAATATCACCATCTAATCCTGTGAACATTTTGTAGCAATGTGACATTAAATGGTGACTATGTCAGATGTTTATTGTAAAGCAGCTCATTTAATAAACCTACTCGCTGATTTTGGGATTACAGGTCACTTTCATAAATCTTCAGGCCCAAGTGTAAATTATTATTCAGTAATGGTTAAGATTTGTACCACACAGTTATTGCTTGTTTTCATTCTTAACCCTGATGGTGGCTAACGATGGGGAATTATAAGAAACATGCTTAAGTGTCAAAACCCTAGCCAGAGCCATGCAGCTGACTACCAGAAGAGCAGAAGGTAGTCCAACTTGATCTTAGCATCCTAAGATGTAAAGGCAATTCAAAATGAAAAGAATGTGACCTAATGTGTAATGAGCTCAAGACATTAACTATGTTTAGCTGGGTGAGGCACTAACCCCAATACCAGCAATGGACTTGTAGCTTCTTCCAGTCACAGCTGGACTTTTTGACATTCCAAGGATGTCATGGGACAGGTTTAACAAGAAATCAATATCACACTTATTCAGTAAACTGGGTTCACTGAGAAGAACATTCTTCTTTACCACACATTGGACAAATTATTTGCAGTCATGTTATGAGGAGGAAGAAAAGGCGCTGATCAGCATTTTAAATGATCCCTGTCTAAACCAAACCAGAGGCTCATAGGCATGGCATTACTCACAAGGAAGCATGGTTTATATCATGTTCATGTGGACCATACCAGAAATAAGATATAAGTAGTGAAGGGACAACTACTCAAGTAATGGCTATCTAGACAGCTATGAAGATGCTGATACTTTTTACTGCTACCAAATTGCTTATTTGGTTAAAGAGTATCCTAAATATCTCTAAATAAGTATAAAAAATGTTCTTAGCTTTTTCATAAAAAATTAAATTTAATAAATAAGAAGTGTTTTCAAAACAATAAACTTACTGATAGTCTTCCGGACTTTGTTTTCAACTGTGGCATAATATTCCTCAAAATGGAGAAAAGTTGACAGAACTTTAGCGGTTTACTTGATATTTTGCTATTCCGATAGGGTGAAAGGTTAGAAGAAATATGCTCATGAGTCCTTGAGGCAAGTTATGTTAACACCTGGAAGGGATGGAGGCTTCCTTGGAGCAGCCTGCATTCCGTAACACTGATTCACGGAAGCTGGGATTCTCTTGATCCGTCACTCTAGGTTCAAGAGCCCCCAGAAATCATCATCTAGCTCAGCAAAGCACACCATCAACACTTCTACATCTAGAAAGCAGAGATTGGAATGCCGGGCACAGAACCATCAATCAGGAAGCCAAGGTAAGCAAAGAAAGTGAAACCAGTTCAGAATACAAACTAGGATTCAAGTGCTGCCATGTCCAGGAGATACCTGTAACAGACAGTAAGACCTACAGAAAGAGTAATCCAAACAACTAAAATGGCTTTTACCAGCTACCACCAGTAATGCTGATGTGGGGTGGGGGGACCTGACCACTGCCAAAGAAGGAGAGAGGGAGCCCCATGTCTGGTGTTCATTAATATCAGATCATATAGGAGCACACTTTGCGCTTTTGTCCCTGCTCTTTAAGTCACTGCTCGTGGGCACGCAGCTCAATCACGTCAATTAATTTCTTGATTTCCAAATCTCTAAAACAAGGTGGAAACAGCTGGTATTTCAAAAGAAATGTAATGATGTGAAAGCCTACAGATTCTCCTATGGTTACTGAGTTTTGTTTTCTTTTTTAAAGAAAAATGTGAGATGCCAAAATGAAGAAAAGGACAAATCCATCTTTCAGGTTCACATCTTCAAGCTGCTTCCTCCCCCCTCCT